AATAAGCGTTTATTTTCAATACGCGTGTTAATTTAAATTAAAAACTTTACTTACCTTGAAAAATAACACATAACTAATATTAACAAATAATTATGAAAGAAAAAAAAATTTTAAAGTTACTAATTATAAATAAACAAATAAAATATTTACAGAGTGCATTTTTATGTGTTAGTTATTATTTCAATTAAATAATATTTAAAGCAGCACATAAAATCAAAATGTGTCTGTGTGTTTATATATATATATATATATATATATATATATATATAAACGCACGCATGCATACATATATATATATATATATATATATATATATATATATATATATATATATATATATATATATATATATATATATATATGTATGCATGCGTGCGTTTATATATATATATATATATATATATATATATATATATATATATATATATATATATATAAACGCACGCATGCATACATATATATATATATATATATATATATATATATATATATATATATATATATATATATATATATATATATATATATATGTATGTATGTATGTATATATATAAACGCACGCATGCATACATAGATGTATATATAAATGTATAATATGACTTTGTTGAAAATACTATTTTATAAAAACATCTTCTTAAGTTTAAAAGTTGTGAAAAACTTGTTAAAGTATAGTATATGTTATTTTCTAAAGTATTGGAAGTATTAGTTATTATTTTCTAAAGTATTAAAAGTCTCTTTTTGTAACTACTGCAAAACTATAAGGTTGCTGTAGTTGTAATCTGCTAAGTACAATCACTAATAGTTGTTTTTACATACAATGTTTTGCATATAGTTTGCAAGATAAATTTAAAAAGAAAAATATTGTTCAATAAATCTTTTGTTCAAAAAATTGCTTTTTTTTTATAGTAGGTGAAACCATGTATTTTTTATATTTTATTTATGAAATTTTGAGATTCAAAATATCTTTTATTGCATATTATTTACTTTAAAATGTATAAATTAAATATGATCTTAATCTGCGTGCGTAAGTCTAACAGTGGTCTGCGCAATTTTATAAACAAATACGTGTTCGTATTAAATAAAATGCAGCGCAATAAATTGTTCTGAATAAAAATTAATTGGCGCCACAAAAGGGCTTATCTTTTTGTGGTATCGCGTATCAACGTTTCTTCTTGTAATTTTGAATGTAAAACTTCCGGCATAGATTTTATCGATTGCGGAAATCGATTATTTTATTAACAATACTATTTACAATACTTTTTACAAAAAAGCTTAATGAAAAATATGCGAAAAATATATGACAATTATATAATAATTTTTAATGTGAATTGTTTTTGTTTTTTTCTTAACTTTTTGTTAGAAATTCGACGTAACTTTCCATTCTTCGTGACTTTCTTTTTTCCAATTTTATTACTGAGTGTTGCTAATTAACATAGAATAAGAGAACAGCCATTTATTGTGAAAACTGGATGTATCCCATCATGTTCACGTGTGAATCGGCGACTATTTATTTTTGTATACTTGTAAATACGATTATTTTTGCAGATAAAAAAATTTATTTTTTGTCGTAGTTTAGTTTGCTGATCAATAAAGGTTTTGTTTTCCATTGCAACGACATTTTATTCCAGTCACTGGACGTCGCGTTAGAGTTTACTTTGATATTTTTTTCGGTATTCATGCTGATAACATGACCGTAGGTTGGTTTGTTGAGCATGTTATAAAAAATACGATTTTCTGTTGGAGTTTCGAGGTGCGCACTAAGACTATGTTTTTCATATACTGAGTTATAATAATCGAATTATCTTCTTAAATGATATCACGTGAGTCTATTCTAATCGAATTAAGATGTTTTAATTGGTCGGTTTATCCATAAATATTGATATGTTATTAATAGAATAGGGTTTTGCTCTGAACTACGTGATTTTAAAATCTTGATTACGCATTTTCTATAGCGTTCATACTGTCGATCACTATAGATAATAACAACAATTTTTTTTCCGAAAATAACAATATGCTTTTTCTAGATACTAATTTTGTTTGATATCACACCGGAAATATCACATTACAAAATTATATTTTTGTATTTACCTGGCTAAAAATTTGTAACTCATAAAAAATATTGCTAAACCAAAGTTCATATTTTTTTAAATTTTCGAAATATATTTATTTTTTAATTTGGTTGATTTTTTATTATTGTTTATTTGAATTATTTTTATTTGCTGTTATTCCTTTGCGTCGATCGCTCTAAATATAGATTTTGACATGTACCGGCTTCGTCATTGCACGTTCAATAATAACTTGATTCGTCATTGCACGTTCAATAATAATGCACTTGATCAAATATTCAAGTATAGATTTTTTTGCATGCATTATTATTTCGTGCAATAAACGTGTTATGACAAATCTTGAATTGCGTCTTTGTTGACGCTTATTTTGTTTACTAGTAGTTTTCAAAGTAATCTTGAAAAAATTATTTATCTTTATTTATTGTTAATACCATTATTTTATTGCCTTTCACATGTTTTTAATAAATAAATACGACGACAAAGTTGTTTTCGTCAAACTGCACATTTCATGCTTAAAAACAGTTCATGCGACGACAAGTTTCACGTTTAATGCACGTGTTTTTCCGTGCGTATTACGTGCGTATCACGTGGCTAAAAACGTGGCTCGTGTTTTGTTGGTGATTCAGTGAAAATCCTTGATTTTTTTTGTTTGTTTGGTTGTTTTTTTTTACGACAGACTGGGTTTTTTTAAGAAATTAAATTTTAAATAAAAAAATTTTATTTGCGCGCAAACTGGTTAAAATTTCATTTTACAGTAATTGCGCTATAAAACCAAAAACTAATACAAAAAGTATAACAGTTATACGAACGACTTAATTATAAAAAGAAAATTTTAATCTACTTTTCATTTAAACAACTTTTATTGTAAATTGTAGATTGGTGTCCATATTGGACATCATTGAGCTTATTAGAAAGTTGTTAAAAGATGAAAAAAGAGATTTATTCATAGAAAAAAATTTCAAATAGTATTAAATCTTCGGATTTTTCTCGAACTATGGGATTATGGACGCGTTGAAGAAAAACATGCGCCAAAGAAGAGTTTATGTTAATTGGGCACGTTTTACTTCCAATTTATAACACGTAATTTATCATAGATTTTTAATTATAAAAGTTTACCTGCTAAGCATAAATTACATTGCTATATTAATTTGAAAACTATTAAATTTTAAGCGGAGTTCTACTAAATTAAAAATGCATTTTTATTTGAGCCAAAATTGTTGGTGCCAAAATAATTGCTGGGTTATATAAATCGTCCAGCAAAATCGTCCAGTTACAGTTATGCTTATTATCAGTGATGCTTGTGTGTTTTTTTTTTTTTGTTAACGCTAAAAAAAACAATGTTTTTATCCAGGTAGACCTCTATTATCAAGCAAAATTATACACTTGATTTAATCCTCAAACCCAATTCTTTGAAATTTCATTGTTATAAAGTTTTTTAAAACATTCATATTAGTTTTATAATAGTATTCATAAGTCTTTTTTAAGCATTCATATTATTAGTAAAACTTATGAGTATGAGAAAATAATTCAATCTAAGACCAGTTCTGCAGTCGTATTCACTTCTCTCCGTTAAACTTAACGGAGCTTTTGTCTTAAGTTTCGTTAAAATATTTCTAGAGATGAGAATGCGGTCCCAGGTTTGTAGGCTTATGTTGTAAAGTATATAAGTGCGTAATAGTAAACATCCGAAACCAGAGCATGAACATTTTTTACTAAAGTTGAAGTTCAAGCCCGGTGGGAAATGAGCTAGCGACTAGCGAGCGACAAGCTAGCTTTATAGCGATTTTCAAGCGATTTTTTATTATTATTATTTTATTTTTTCCTAATGTCTTTAACATCTTTAAAAATTCGAATTTTACTTTTGAGTCTATTATAATTATGAGAATATTTGAACTTTAAACATTGAGATTTTGTAGCAATGTGTCGCTAGCAACATGTCGTAACTTTGTAGCTAGCTACAAAATATCTACAAGTCTATAGCTGGTTGATAGCTATATATAAAAATTTTTTAGACAGCATTTTTATTACTATATGACGCTACGATATGACACAATAGCCAGTGGTTCTTTAGCTTATTAAGCTAGCTGTCCTTGTAGCCAAATTGCTGTCTTTATCTTTACATATACTGATAGCGTTTCGCTAGTTAAAAAGGCTATCGTTATGATTATAGCTAGTTATTCGCTAGCCGATTTCCCACTGGGAGGTACATCATATTATATTGCTTCCTGGTGATTTTGAAGGAGAAACTGACAGTTGAAACTCAAGTTAGATAAGTGCTTTTTTACTAATTTATTACTGCTCTGTTCTTCAAGAACATTAAGCACGCTTTTTGTAGAATACACTTATATGTACACGCTTTTTGTAGAATACACTATATATATATATATATATATATATATATATATATATATATATATATATATATATATATATATATATATATATATATATATATAAAATGCAAAAAGTTGCATTTAACCATTTCGTATATTAATTTAACGCAAGTTTCTAAAACTTTTTTTATATTGTACTCCGCTCATACTGACTACAAAGAACATTTCATTTTAAACACGTGATAAATTGTTTTTGTATGTTAAAATTACAAATTACTAAATTATTATAATTTATTATAATACAAAAATATTAAAATATAAATTTAAATGAAAATTAAAAAATATAAATTATTATAATACAAAAATATTAATTTTTGTGAAAAAGTATATTTTTGATATTATTATAGTTTTATTATCATTATTATTGTATAACATAATTTACGTGTTAATTACTAGAAATAATAAAGAAATGTAAAAAGAAATAATATCTACAAGAATCCTAAAGATTTAAAATTTTTATAATTGTTGTATTTGTCGCAATTAACAAAATTTTAGATATGAAAAATGAAATGAATAAAATTATTATTAATTTTTTTTTTAGATATATTATGCTCTCCGGTCGTGCACCATTTCAAGGCAGTTGCGGTGAAATGTGTGATTGGGAACGGGGAGGTTCGTGTAAAAATTGCAAGTTTTTGCTTTGGCATAGTATTTTAGATGGCGATTACTCATTTTCATCTGAAGAATGGAAAAGTATTTCAATGGAAGCAAAAGACTTAATATCTCACTTATTAGTTAAAGACTCTTCTAAACGATTTTCCGTCGAGGATGTTTTAGCTCATCCGTGGCTTGAAGAGGTAGGTTTTAACGTGTTTGACGCGACTTTTAAGACTTACTTTCAAAATATGTTTGAAGTTGTTTTTTTTTTTTTTTTTTTTTTTTTGTTTGTTTGTTTTTTTGAATAAGAATTTAGATTTTTGTTCACTAGGCAAGCAACAATGAGTTAAACACTCCAAATGTCCTTGCAAGGTTTGTGTTATATATTTATTGTTTATGGTGTGTGTGTGTGTGTGTCAGACCTTAACCATTGCGCTGTAACCATTTTACGTACGAAAGGAGTTTTACGTTCGCTTAAAATATATACATTGATAAATCAAATAATTAACGTTTTTAAAACCAACGTTTTTTTACGAAGTTGACGCTTTTAAAACTATTCCTTTTTGATGAAGTAACTAACGTTTTTAAAAACAATTTTTTTAATGAAGTAATTAAAAATTAAAAAAAAATGTTTTAAAAACCAACTTTGAAGTAATTAACATTTTAAAAATCATTGTTACAAAAGTTTAAACGACAGTTACGTAAAATATACTTGTTATTTAGGAGTACAATAAATTGGATCCGTCATTTCGAAAAAGACCATTAAAACATTTTAGGATCAACAAAATATGTTTTTTTAACAAGACAAACGTCTATCGTGCTAAAAGAAACTTAACATGGTAGATAAAAAGGCATTTAGTTTTAGTGAGTTTTGTTAATAAAAAAAACACACCTTTCAGATATTTTTAATTTAATTTTTTAATTAATGGACTTTTGTCTTTTTTAAAATGACGGGTTCAGCTCAGATTAAGTAAAAACAATTCGATGTTTTTAAACCCAACCTTTTACCCAATCCTTTTATGTTATTAAGAATCAAACTTGGCAATCTATTTTGATATTAATATTTTATTATTATATTAAATTCACAATGTACAAAATTTAATTAACTATAAAATTTACAAGATAAATATGTATATATGTATTTTTTGAGCAAATGTATTTTAAAACTGAAAAAAGCAAAAGAAAAAAGACCTTCGCATTCTAGGCGAAAAAATGTCTTCGCATTCTAGGCGAAAAAATGTCTGCTAAACCACTAAGATTACAATATGGCTTGCAAATTGCATATATAGATTGTTATTTTTCTTCATATATAAAAACGAAATAATAATAATATTAACTAGACTTAACTAGATTGACTTGTTACGATTCTACGGGTGGTGGTGGAGGTTAATATACCCCCCCCCCCCCAAACAAGGCGATTTTCAAGTCAGAATTTTTTTTTGAGAAATACAATCGGCTAGTCGGGTATTTGACACATTTTAATTGGGTTGTTTTTAATTTTGAGTACTTTATCATCAAGCAAGAGTATGTATACAAAATTTGAATAAACTGTATCCTCAAAATGACTCAAAAATTGATTGCAAGATTTAATGTTGACAACATTATTTTAAGATTAGAACTTAATAAAAGCAAAAAACAAAAAAAAACAATTTAAGAATATCTAAATTTTTATTAAGTCAATCTTTTTAATCGAAACACTTATCAACTTGAGAAATACTTTTCGATTCTCTAATATGAAGGCAAATATAAATTGAAAAATCAATTTCCATTTACCTAAAACATAGGACACGTTAATTTTTAACTAAATTTGCAACACTAAATAAATTAATTGTTGATTTGCTTCAATTTATTTATTCTATCTTAAATACAGTATTTATTACAAAGTATATATGATTGAAATAAGCTTATATAAAATATATATATAATGAAAATATAACTTTTGTAAGTTCGAATTTATATTTACAAGATTTATACGAGGAAAGTAGTTTTATATTAACACAAGGTTTAAATAGTTCTGAATTAACCTCCAACCCCTCTACATACAAAAAAAGTATGTTTTTGAGATATATTTAACTTGCACACAGTTATCATTTGCAAAAAATTTAGCAAGCTAAATAATATTAATATGGTATAGTGTAAAAAATTAAGTCGCACTAAATAGGAACTTTCGCTCAAACGAATTTTTATTACGAACTAATCGCAAAAATGTTCAGTTTTGTTGCATAATTGTTTCCAAATTTTCATTTTGCTAATTTTGATATGTGTAAAAAAACGGATTTTGCAAAAGTTAAAATTCAACTCAAAAATTTTTCAAAAAAAGTGTTTTTTGGGGGGATAAAAATAATATTTTTAAAAACTTCCATCCTCATATGATATTTTTTCATTTTTTTTTTAACTTTATCTAACTATCCTTTTTTAATCCTTTTTAACTTTAAGTAAATTTTTAAATGTTTTATTTACATATCAGTTGTTATGATGTTGTGTACAAAATTATTTATTTGGTAGACAAATCCAAGTTATTCGTTCTTAAAGTTAAAGTGTATTGTTATAAATTTTTGTTATAAATTTTTGTATTCTGTGAACAAAAGTTTTATTTCTTGCGATACTTCCTCGAAAACTCAAAAATTTTTCTCCGACTTTAAAAGAAACTTTTTTCTTTGTTTTCACTGTATTTTTTAAATCTTTCCTACTAATCTCAAGAATTAACTCCATTAGTTAATTTTTACTCCCTTTATTATTTACTTTTTTTTATCTCCGTTAATTAGGCGGTTCTGCCATTAGTAATGTTATTGTAACGCATAATTTATATTTAAAAGTATCTCTTTACGTTAGCGTATGTTTTCTATTAACGAATTCTTAATAAAACACCAAGTGAATTAAAAGTGCAGACGGTAAAAAAAGAGAGACAACGTTTTATTTTGTACACGACCTGGTAAAAACTCATTGATTTATCTTTACAGCTTGCAACTTCATATAAATGGACAAATACTACTCTTGTAAAATATGAAAACGAATGGCTGAAGATGCCAATATTTGACTAAAGATGAAAAATAATAGTTCCTGTAACATCAAAACAAGTACCGGAAAATTCTGTCCGTTTTCGGACAAAACTTTCTGGTACACTTTAAGTTTATAATGAAGAAAAACGTAAAATAACTTTGTTTGAGTTAGTTTGCTACATTAATACTTTAAACGATTAAAGTAATGAGCCAAACATATGCTAAATAAACGTGCTAATGCGTCGAAAATTGGATTATAGAAACGGACAGAACTTTCCGGTAGACCTAATATAATATTTTCGTTTGTTTAATAGCTAGAGTTAATATGTTAAATAGCCCGAGGTAGTATGAAGAATATTCTAGATGTTAAAGTTTATATAAGCAGTAATTAAACGGTCTTGTTAAAAGCTTGAAAATGTGGCTTTTATAACTGTCTTATGGCTTTTTGAATTATTACTGGATTAATTTTTTACTCAGTTGGAAATTGTTTTTAAAGAAATTTCTCGTAAAACCAATAAATACAATGGGGTTTTCCTTCTAATGAAAGTACTAATCATGTAAATGAAAATTTAAAAAAAAAAAAAAAAAAGCGAGGAATAGTTTTTAAGTTATATGACTCACGACGAATTAAACTTGTTTATTCATGAAAAAAATGTTTTCAATTTGAGAATAATGTCTTATGAATAAATCTATTTCAGTTTAAGTCTCCCATGTAAACATTGTAAACTCCTCAAAATGAGGGGTCTATAAATTTTTGCATGGTTATAACTTTGAACACTAAAATATTTTTTAACGAAATTTGAAACACTAGTCAGTAAATTTAAATTTAGTTTAAATTAGTAATAATATAAAACTCAGTAAATTATTGCCCTGAAATAACATTTGGGGTTTAGGGGCGTGAATTTTAGGATTTTGTTGTTCCTAGGATTAAACCAACGCAATTTGCTGCATCGCATTCTCACTTGATAAAAGCATAAACATACTTAAGTTTGCCCTATGTCTAAAAGTTACCTTTTTCAAATATAAAAATTTTCGCAATCCCTGTATTATTCAGTTTTATTTTTATTGACAAAAAAAGGTTTGCAGTATATGTCGAAAAAAGATTTTTTTTTTTAAATTTAAAAAATAGCCTTTAAATAGATATTTAGCAAAGTAAATATCTATTTTAAACATCTGTTTCATATGTACATAACAACGTTTCTAAATTAGTTTAAGTTAACTTTTCGACTAAACATGTTTTGTGTTAATTTAGTAAATTGTGGTAGTTTAAAATAGTAATGTTTAAAGACAATTGAATTTTATTATAATGAATATTATGACATTTCATATTCCGTTACACTTATGCATTTCGCCCTACGAAGCCTGTAGTGTGTGCGTGCGTGTGTGTTACCGTACTTAATTATTTTTTTATTTTTTGCTTAGGTTTTATATATATAAGTATATATTAATATTTGTGGTTATACATTAGCTGAGCTTCATCATCATTCTATGCATGTACATTCTCTCACTCAGTGGGTGTATTTAAATTGAATTAATAATTATTAAAAAATTAATTTATTATATAAATTAATTTAAAAATATATATATATTTTTTGTTAAATAAAGTAACCTACCACCGTTGATGATTCAAGTTTTATCCAACTAAATGACATTTTGTAATGGTGTAAAGTAATGTTTTTACGCCCTGTAATTGCTTAGTTACCAATAAAACTAATACAGTCGATTCTTTTTTGTTTATTTAGTCGAAAGTAGGTAAAAATGTTTCCATCTATATAATAATATTCAATTACCTTCTCAGCAAAAAAATCAACATTACTTTGCAGTAATTTGGGGGTGGGACCATGGTCGCCTCGACTCTTTGTCGTTGTGACCCATATTTGTGTGCGTGTGTCTATGTGTGTTTATAATATAATATACTATTTATAATACTTTTTTTTTTTGAATTTTTTATATAGCTCTAGTTATACTTATCGCCTGAGCTGTATGGCGTCTGAGGCCGTGGCATATCATCGTCATATCGTATCAGAAAGAAAATCAGATAAGCAAGAAAATCACACACGTTGGAGTACTCCACCAAAATTTGGATTGTCTCCTCTAGGGAACTCCAATCTTGCTAAGCGACGTTCAATAAAAAATAAATTAAAACTGGTAACGCCTTTCACAATTGATGATTCGCAGAACGACACACCTGTCGCTTCTCCAGTCGTAGAATCATTGTTTGAACGTGCATTACAACTAAACACTAGCAATGATAAGAAATCGGATTGTTTTAAAATTGAGAATCAAATGGCGAACTTTCATCAAACATTGATGGATATATCTAAACGTAATGGCTCTAGAGAAAATTTTGCGACCTACCAATGGTCAGCGGCAAACGATGGTGGCTATTAAAAGATATCACATTTTTAATATTTGAAAGCATCTATATTTATGGTATATAAAGAAGCAATATGTATCAATCACCAATTAACTATTTTACTGCCAAATTTGCTGAAACTTGAGTAAATTTAGTAAGCAAGCGTTCACTTATAAATGTGCAGTATAATGAAATTCACTTACGTTACGTTATGCATTTTCGTTTGAAGAAAATGTAATCTAGTAATTTGATTTCATATATTCTCAAAATTATTTGTTGGGTAACTTAAGCACATTCTTGCCTCCTCATTGTTTTTTCTCAGCATGTCATTATTTCACTGTGTTGTCTTACATCGTCCTTTTTTTTTTAATATCGTTGTTAAATTTCAATGTTTAAGGCTGAGCTAAAGTTTATTTTTTATCAAAATGTGTTAAACTTTTAATTTCTTAATGTTTTCATCAAAAATGTTATCTTACCCCCGTTAAAAATTTCTCGCAAATTACGAATTGAAATGTGCTTAGAGTATGATTAAGTTACTCTGCTTTACGCTTGGTGTAAATTTCAAAGTTTTATACGGTGTTTTCAATTTTTTTTTTTTTTTTATAATTTAATTTTGTTTTATGTAAATGTTTAAATACCTTTTCACTTGTATTTCCTACACACATACGCGAGCATTCACAAACACATTCAGAGGTGATTTCTCAATGACGAGTAATTAAATGCAAAAATAAAAAAAGTATTTTATTTAACTTACACTTTTAAGGGTTAAATTTTTAACTTTTTTTTTCACCCTTCAATAGTACACCTCTGTGTGTGTAACGCTAGATATACTTAAACGCAAGGGGTAATATAAATGAAAATTCAAATTTTTAATACTTCACCTTGAGTTCAGGTTGCTCTGCGTTTTCTTATATAGTGAAATAAGGTTTATATTATACACACACTCACATCAAGACACGTGAAAAAACAATTATATTGGATCGCAATATTCAATATAAATTGTTTTTTTTTTTTTTATAAACCAATATTTAATGTAATGTATGAATACTTGACGCCTCATATTGAGGCAAACATAAACATGCAAGAGATTAATTTTTAAAATTGTTTTTCGTAAATCTTTTTAAACGTTGTCCCTTAAACTATAAAGTTTTCTTTTTATAAAAAAATTCTTAAAATAAAGGATTTTCATCAGAGTCGTTTAAATTTTTACATTTTTTAAAATGTTCTTATCTGGAAAAGAAGCGCTTTGCGCATTAGGAATTTTTGCAAATCACTAACCTTTTATAGGTTTTGACAGGTTTTATGCTGAAATGTTTTTGCATCATTTGGGAATTACTATTTAAATACCAACTACTACGGTATCTTAGTTTTTACAGAATCCGAAACAGTGAAATAATTGATATTGATGATAATAGGTTTTTCGGTTATTTAATTGTCGTTTTTATTAACGTAAAGAAGTGGTGAATTTTTTTTGCTAAGATTTTGTATTTGAAAGTTTAGCTTTAAAAGAATTTAGTGTAGTAAAGGTAGTCTAGGGATATAATTTAATTGGCTTTAGTTTATTTTGATTCTTTAATTCCAATGTGAATGAGTTTTTTACGCTAAGATTAAAGAATCAAGATGAACTAAATTTTATTCATTCGAATCAAGATAAACTAAACTTTGTAAGTCATTGTGCTTTCAAGTTTTACTTCCTTTTTTGTTGGTGAATTTCTAAGTGAACTTCATGAGATAAAGATAACTTGATCTTACTATTTGTATCGCTCAAAACTGTCATTGGGCATTTATTTTCTAAAACAAACTGATTAAGTGTGACGATTTCTGTTGCACAAAAACTTAAAGTTTGTGTTGTAATAGTCGCGACTATAGTTGATTGTCACAGAAGTTGTCAATAAAATTTTCCTTTTTTTAAGAAGACATAATCGTCAAAATATGATAATTATGATCTCGTAAAAAATGATTACAAAATGAAACTAATATTTATTATTAGCTACATTTTGTCAATCAAGGTGTATTTTATGCGTTAAATTATATTGCATATAATTAAATACACTTCATTTAAAGGATACTTAGAAAATGGCTGCTTTAACACTTCACGTGTTAAAGCAGCCATTTTCTAAGTATCCTTTTTTTATTTACTTGAGCATTATCTGTGAGTAAAACTTTATATTTTATTTTATGCCTAAATTTCAGTATGGATATATCACCATGGACTCTATCATTATGGATATACCACCATGGACCCTATCATTATGGATATATCACAAATTCCTTCATATGTAAATTAATACATGGTTAAAAAAATATGCAGTAAAATTTGTTTGATGACCATAAAATGACAATCAAATCTTGTGTTTGTTTATTAGAAAGCCCATTTCTAAATTTGTCATTTGACGTGTGTATTACATTCTGTTTAAGTTTTTACAATGTAAAAAATACTTTGATACAGTAAAAGTCTTTAGAGTAAAAAAAAAACTATTGCTGTGATGGAATTTTTCATATTGCTTTCGTTCCAAAGAGCCTGATTAGTTTTTCTCTCTTACTTTTTCATTTTTTGGTTAAATTTAAATGATTTTTTAATACTATCAATTCTTTATTGAAACTATTAATTTACGCAAATTAAAATTACATAAAACAACACCAAAACAATGTAACATTTTTCAAATTTTAAAAGATTTTAGTTACACATGTAATTAATAAGTTAAAATAAATTTTTTCAGAAAATAATTATTAGTTTCATGTTTAGAAAAATTTTAAACAAAATGTATAAAGTTTTTGCTATACTTTCGAAGTATCGTAAAATCTATACACGCTCTCTAAAAGTAAAAACTATTCGCTCTAAAAACTCACTAAAAATATATACTATACGCACTCTCTAAAAGTAAAAAGTATACACACTCTTTAAAAATATAAACTAGATAATCGGAAAATGAAACTTTTAAAGGTACTCTTGAAATTTAGGTAAGGTACTTTAATGTTGGAAAAAGAAGCATCAGCGAACAATTTTCAAAAATTCTCTCGAAGAAAACATTCCTAAATGACCTTTTTTATTTATTATTATTATTTTTTTTTCAGTTTACAATGTTAGTCGTGGTACAATAAAGTAAACTATTAAAAGTACTTTACAAATTTATATATATATATATATATATATATATATATATATATATACATATATATATATATATATATATATATATATATATATATATATATATATATATATATATATATATATATATATATATATATATATATATATATATATATATATATATATATATATATATATATATATATATATATATATATATATATATATATATATATATATATATATATAAAGCGTGACAACAGTGTAAACTAGGTTTCCGAAAGAAGATCACTAAGATCTCTTCATTGGAACCTTAAAAAAACAATAATAAACAAATTAATTTACAAATACCTTGTAAAGTATACGTTACAATAAAGTAGATTATATATATAAAATCTTTTATATACGCAAAACTGTAAGCAATATAAGCAACATATAAATGTAAAAACAATATAGATAGTTGTAAACAACAAAACTTTAGAGAAAAATAATGAAAATCTAAAATAAAGTTAAATAATAGATAAATTAATTAGTAATTAAATTAGAATTAAATTTTTTATTTTGTTTTTAAAAAGACAAAAAGAATTTGGTCGATCAAAATCAAAATTTGGTAAAACAAGTTTATTCAGTAGTTGCGGTGCAAGATAGGCAAGACAAAATTGATTTAAATTTTTTAGACAAAAGGTTCGTAAAAAAATTTTTTTTTAAGAGTAAATTTGTTTCTTGGTTTTAAAATGAATAGATCTTTAAAGACTGAGGGGGAAATAGGTCGTTTTTCCACATATATACAAAGCATAAAATTTTGAAAACGTTGATTTCAAATATATTTAAAATTTTCATTTCAATAAAATAAAGTTTACAATGAGAAAAACGATCAGCAAAGTTAATTATGCGAATTGCTCGTTTCTGACAGCGATAAAGACGATGTAATTTACTTTTTTCAGTACTTCCCCAGGCAATATTAGCGTAGTTTATGTAGCAGTGATTAAATGAGAAATAAAGTTGTCTTAAGTTTCTCTTATTGATATAAGTTCGAGCTTTGTATAAAACTACAATTTTTTCAGAGACGTTAGTGCACACATAACTAATATGTTGATTTTATTTTATATTTTTTTCTTTCTTTTATTCTTTCTTGATTTTAATAATAATAAGCCTCTTCCTTATTCCATAATAAAAAAAATTTCCGTAGTCTTTGCATTTATGGATTTGTTTGAAGAACTCTCATTTTCATTATCACCAGGGTTTAGTAATATTTGTAGTCTCCAATAGTCAGAAACTTTCTTGCAGGGCTATTTAAACTTTATATTTTCTCGTTGACATTTAAAGTTTACTTTTTCATGTAAGGAAATTTTTCTTTAATAACTGCGATGATTTATAGAAGATTTTCCATACATTTCACAAAATGACCAGTTCAATAAAATGGTTTTTTCTATTTTTTTCTCATGTTTTTCTAAAGGTTTTCAAATATAGTAAGCTATATGGTATATTTGTATTTATGAAGGTAAGTTTGCATCTATGAAGGTGATCTATATGGTAAATTTTAATAATAAAGACATGTCTATATTGATAATAACTATTATTTATATAATTATTAAGAAGTTTAGGTTTTTGTTTCAAGTTATTACTTCTTAGTTGAGGTTGCATTAGGGGTTTACTGGTTTTACCGACAAAAATAATTATCAAAATGACCAGTAAATTTAAAAAATCTTTACTAGTTTTCATAAATCTTACAAGATCTTTCCAAGTAATTTAAGATTTTTCCAAGTATTTTTCTAATTTTTGAGTAAAATGATTTCAAAATTTATTACCACCCATTTAAAATTACCGCTCACATATCTTCAGTCTTTAAGTGAAGTTAGACTCATTAAAGTTACAACTAAGCCTATTAATTTAATTATCTGATTTGAAATATTATTGCGCATAGGAGATTCTGATGTTAACCAAGTTTTTGCATAAACCTTATGAACTTTAGAAAAGCCATCTAGGCAATAATTGCAATTTCTTCATTAATGTATAATGATTTATATAACAAATGTTTTTTTTTATTTGTAAATGCTTTTTTTTCAAATATAAATAAGTTCAAATTATTTCTTGATTGGCTTTTCAGTAAATTCACATAGAAATTAATTACAACTTGCCAGATATTATAATTGAAAATTGGCACAATAAATCAAATAAATGTAGGGGAGAGCATGGTTGGTTGTCACACAGTTTACATTTTAAAATGCTTATATTTTATTTTTCATTAAATCAAAAACAAACTTTGCACAAAAGTAGCTTAAGTATTTACGGTAATTATTAAAACATTAAATATATTTTGTTGTAAAACCATTATTCAAATACCTCTGCAGTGTGATAACCGTCCCCAACCACGAGGTTGATTGTCACAGAGTGTGGAGTTAGTTGTTACAATTCTGGGTATGTTTGGATTATAACCAGTTAATGCAAATTTGAGTACAACTTAGTTTTCTTAATATAATTTGATTTCAACAGTTTTTTTTTACTTCCATTCACATCTAATTTAGTATTTTTAGTCTAACTAATAATTGCTTATTTTTATCATTAGTCAGCTTTGCTTTGCATTCTAACTCACATGTCAGTTTTGCTTTGACATGTGAGTTAGAATCATAGTTGAACGCTTTTTCCTACCTCATTTTAGTGCTAACCTTTAACCTGCTTTAGAAAAAGGCTTATACTCTCAGGTGGTATGATTGAATTTAAAAAAAATTATGGAGTGATTGGGTCATGGTCCGAGATTTTATTTGATACAAGTGGTTCTTTTAAACTTCTTTTTAGCTGATTAGCCGGTATCTGCATAAACTTTTTAAACCTTTTATTTGGTGGTTCTAGTTGAACTGAATACGGTTGGCAGATTTCTTTATTTGAATCATATACCATATCATACAGTTTTTCACTAACTTTTTAAAGTAAGATCTTGAATACTATTTATTGTAAACTGGCAAAACTTGTTTTTTCTTCATAAACACTTATAGAACTTTAGAAAAGT